CTTTGATCGCCAGAATATACCTGAGCAGCTCCTGCGAGAATGTGGCGTTGAAGGGATGGATGGTTCGATTCAATTTCGTCGGGCGATTGCCAAACTGGTGGGGTTCTCGTTGGTTACCGCCACCAAACGAGAAGATAAGATCTTCTATGAGCTTCATCGCTTAATCCGGCTATCGATACATGCCTACTTATCACCAGAAGAGTTGGATAAATGGGGTACTGCCGCTCTAGGCGTGGTTTCCCGAATTTTCCCTAAATATAAGCATGAGCAGCGGGATATTTGCGAGGCATACCTCCCACATGCACTTGCGGTAACCAGATATAGATCAGATATTATTGCTGAGGATCTTTGCTTTCGCATGGCGGAATGTTTTCTACATTTGGGTTCCTACGGCAATGCAAATGCGCAGATCGGTCGATGTATCAGATTTCGCGAGAATAAGGAACAAGGCTGGGATAAAGGTCAAAGTAGATTCATGCTCCTCGGGCGGGTGAGGGCACACTAAGGGAAGGCAAAGGAGGCAGAGGAGATACTTCGGAATGTCTTAGAGGACTTGGAGAGGTCATCGGGTCCAAACGATTCCGACGCTTTGGAGTGCTTATCCTACCTGGCAAGTGTGATGAGTGATCTCGGCAAGTATGATGAATCAGAGACCATGAATCGGCGTGCACTCGAGGTGCGTGAGAGGGTTCTTGGACCTGACCACCAAGATACCCTAACCAGTGCCATTAACCTATCCCTTGCTCTGGGATACCAAGGAAAGTGGGATGAATCAGCGGCTATGAATCAGTGCGCACTGGAGGGATATGAGAAAGTTCTTGGACTAGACCACCCAGACACCCTCACAAGTGCCAGCAACCTGGCTTTGGCTCTGCGACGCCAAGGAAAGTACGATGAATCAGAGACTATGAGTCGACGTGCACTGGAGGGGCGCGAGAAGGTTCTCGGACCAGACCACCCAGAGACCCTAACAAGCCTCAGCAACCTGGCTGTTGTCCTGCACTACCAAGGGAGGTATGGCGAATCACATGCGACGCATCAGCGTGCACTGGAGGGGCGCGAGAAGGTTCTCGGATCAGACCACCCAAATACCCTAGCAAGCCTCAACAACCTGGCTATCCTGCTGGAATGTGAAGGAAAGTACGATGAATCAGTGATGATGCATCGGCGTGCACTTGAGGGACGCGACAAGCTTCTCGGACCAGACCACCCAAAAACCCTAGCAAGTCTCAACAACCTGGCTATTGTGCTGCGATACCAAGAAAAGTACATTGAATCAGAGGCGATGCATCGGCGGGTACTCGAGGGGCGCGAGAAGGTTCTTAGACCAGACCACCCTAACACCCTAGCAAGCCTCAACAACCTGGCTATTGCGCTGAGGCACCAAGGAAGGTACAGTGAATCAGAAACGATGCATCGACTTGCACTAGAGGGTCGCGAGAAGGTTCTTGGACCAGACCACCCAAACACCCTAGAGAGCCGTAGAAACCTGGCTGTTGTTCTGCGATGCCAAGGGAAGCAAGGGGAATTAGAGTCGATGCATCGGCGTGCGCCTGAGGGACGCGAGAAGGTTCCTCGACACGACAACCCCGACACTCTTACAAACCTTAACGCAGGGATGGAGGTATGTGAGGTGAGAGATGATCTGTCTTTACTAGCTACGGGATAAGCTATGTAAAGGCGGAAATACATGACTGCCGGGCTCCACTGGGCCCTAACCCAATACCCTAACGATCATCAGGATAACCTCCGGTAACCTGCTCCAACAAATGACCTGGCCCTTGCGCTGCGACACCAAGGAAAGTGCAACGAATCAGAGACGATGAGGCTCGGTGCACGACACAGAGGGCCAAAAAACCCGGACTAGGCATAGCTGCAATTGGCAGACAATGTTGACCTTTGTTTCCCTACGACACCACACCCTTCCGCAAGGACAATTCCAGGCAAGGCGATTCATCATGTCGGAGGTAGTTTGTCCGGATCAGGGGTGGCGTAAGTGGGCTCCCAATTTCTACCAGCCTGGGAGACTCTGGTAATCCATCGCGAATAACAGGGTAAGGTATAGAACTAGGGGTGGCGGGTGAAAAGAGGTGGCGGGCTATTGAATTGTTTGCTACAAGGAGGACATACCGGTACTCATGTATGGAGCAAGTATTGTGCATTTTTACCTTCTCCTCGCCTTTTGTTTTCTATCGTTTCTGGTCTCGTTTAGGGGTGTATTTGTTTATCCTTCACAGTGAATTATTTCTTGTGCCCCCTCACCCTGCAAAATCCTAGCAGCCACCCCCTTGCCCCCCGAAATCATAAGAAGTCACTTGGTGGTGATCAGAGTTACCCCCGGAACCCCATTTCCTATCTGCGGGCGCCTTTCCCAATAAGTGCTTCGCGGTCTTACGCTCCCGGTTGCTATAACGATCAGGGTAAAGCTGTCGTCTCCTCCGTGTTTCCGCCCACAGCCCGGCGCCAAATTCCCTGCCGAGTGCGTCCGAGCCAAGAATGGGCGCCTCTTTCGGAATAGCTCCTGGAGACCCATAAAAGGTATAGTGGTTGCGCTGTTCAAGCAACTCAGACGACAGCGCAAAATACTGGCACCTGGTGACAATGATATCATGTGTGAGACCATACTCGTAGAAAATTTTAGAGCATTGAATTGGATAAATAGATAAAGCTCATGAAGGTACGTATATACCCCTAATTAAATAAAACTTCAAGGTTAGCATTCAGGTTATGCAATGAAGGGAAAAGGTTTTACAAGCACTGCAAGTGGAGCAATTTTCGCGCTTCATAGATGTATCGGGTTTAATATAATAGAAATTTTTGTATTAGGGTTCATGATATTTATTGTATATTGTAGCGGCCACATATTCACTACTCAACAAACAGCATCAACACTACCGGTATAAGGTTTACAGATTTGGGAGAGCTATTCTAAAGAGGCGCCCATTCTTGGCCTGGACGCACCAGGCACCTCGGTCATACCCTCTCCTCGCACTAAGTCCTTCTACCCAGAAAGTTTTAGCTGGCGTGAGGACGGTCTTATCGTCGCCCGTATCACTACCAACACCCTCCCTTTGGGCGCACGTGGCAGTAATTTTGGCAAACCGTTACTCCCGTGGCAAGGGCGAAACTGAAGCGCTCTGGAAGTCAGGCTGCCATGCTCGGGGAAGGATAAATGGGGGCCATTTCTCGCTACTTACTTTTCAGTTCAAGTCCGTTCGCTTATCCCCCTTCCCTCCTTTCCCGTGTCATAGCTCCGAACTTCCCGTATTTCTCTCGTCTTGAGATGCTTCTCATACCAGATATCCCTTTCCCGTCTTTCATATAATCTTCTTTTTAGCCAGATTTTCAAGCCTACCGACGGAACCGCTTCGCTCAAACCCAGCTGTCGAAAGTGCTCTGCGGGTACTGTACAAGGAAGCCTAAGTTAATCACTTCTCCGTTATTCTGGTGCACTCGGGTCGCTGCCCGCGAGCGACCGGATAGCAGAGGATCAGAGGTACAGTACCAAACCATCTTGCTCGTCTTAGCGATTTCTATGTCGGGGTTGTCCTCCCACCTGGGATGGCACCAAGCCCAAGGCTACCCGACCTCCTAGATGTGCAGCCTTCCATGTCCATACCCGGGTACTGGGACTCGCACGGGCTGTTTTGGCCGGATCTGGCGATCTTTGTTTTTTTTTTCGATATGATACCTGCGAAATTGCTATAAAACCCAAAGAAAGAGACTAAAAAACGAGCTATCATACTATATGCCCGGCGGCGTGCTTGAGTAGGGTGTGGAAGAAACAAAGCAAATCCCCGTACCCTGAACCCTATCTCAAAGGGTATCAACAAAACCAAAAACCACTAGTTTGCACCCTATCAACATAGGATGCGAATTCAACAAAACTGCCTATGCTTACTTACTCGGCATCATAAACCTAGATACCCTATTATCTGCATATTTCCTAAACACATACTGGTACCGGGTGGGCAATCTTGGGGGGGGTGTTTATCAGACCGTGTGTTCTACACAAGTGTTGGGTTTGTTATCCTACCCATAATTTTGCTTAATATCACAATTAAGATGCTATAACACCTTTAAACATAACCTAGTAACACCTCTTGTCAGGAAAAACCCTGTGTAGATCACACGGTCATCTCAACACATCATCCGCCGAACACCCCCTCAGCGATGCAATGAGCAAGCGTTCACAAAATTAAAATCCTATACCCTATTCCCCACCAACCTGGGCCAGTGTTCGCAACGGTCCGGGGCCCCCATAGGGCCCGGCGGAGGGACTGCGAAGAACCCGGGACGGGACGGGATGGCAAAATCTAGTCCGTCCTGGTCCCTGAACTCCTAGGACGGCCGTCATGAGGAAGGTCAATGAGCCCTACGATCTGAGACAACCTCTGGTAGGGTACGGCGGGGCACTACGTAGGACGACCGGAATCAGAAGGGATGGCGGGGGACGGCGGTGGACTGCGGGGAAGGGCTGGGTGTTTAAGGGACGTTAGGGGACGGTGGGTGGCTGTGGGTGACGGCAGGAACTGTCGGTGAATTGTCCTTTACTCTTATGTGTCGGGCAAGTTCAGGAAAAGACCGGACGGGACGACACAATATATTCCGTCCCAGTCCTTCATTCCTACCTGTCGGGCATGTCGAAAAAACGACCGGACGGGACGACTAAATGCCGTCCGTCCTGGTCCTGGCCCAAGACGGACGGACTGTCCCATTACGAACACTAACCTAGGCCGTGAAATCGAGTACTGCTCGAACCCTAGGTCCGCGTAAGTTATGTACGATGCCGCTAGACCTATGACTAATCATTTGGTCAGGTTTGTACTTCGTCACTGCGTTACTGGGCCGTTGCTCCATCTCCACCATCTTTCCTTAGAAGAACCTCCACCAGCTCTCTGGGGGGAATCCTGCCCGCAGTTTTTCGGCATCCTCCGACTCCCTGCCTTTACCCTTTTCCTTCCACAGTTTCCACAGCGGATGATAATTTCCAAGCTCTCATGACACCGGATGAATTTTCCAAATTGCTGGCAAGGGATGAGTATCTAGTACTAGATATTCCTCCTGAGGAGTTCCAGAGCTTGGAAAAGTGTATTGGAGTTAGATCGTCTGTATTTTAAGCTATTAGATCAAGAAAACATTTGCTAATTGCTCATAGGTACACCTACCGCCCTTCGATTGAAAAGTTGACAATAAAAATGTGTACTCCTATGCATGCAATGGTTATATGTTGGGCAGGAGAATTAATTGCAGAGGGGGTAGCGCAACAAGCTTTTGACCGCGGAGATCTTACACAAATTTCTAAGGAGAGGATGACCCGATTCGTGGGTGAATATCAAGACATGTAAGAGGAATTCTGACCTGTTAAGGCGCCTTGCAAATATAGCTCACATACTTTGGTAGCATTAAATCACCTGATGTCGCACTCGTTCCTAGTGGACGCTACCGGCCAACAATTGTTTTCGAGTTCGGGTATGCCGAACCCTATGGCCAGCTAAAAGCTGAGACAACCCTTCTATTAGAGGGGACTCAAGGCTCGATCACCAAAGTAGTAATAATCAAACTCGATCCCCTGGCAGCTGGTGAGACCAAAATTAAGAAAGGGTTTGTGGAAGTCTGGCATTTGGTTGATGGGAAAGTCAAACAGGAAGGTCGGAGAAAGGTAACTTGATACGATATACAGATTCAGAGTTTACATTGAAGCTCACCTTGCTAATACTATTATTATAGAAGTTATTTCCAGTGCCGGAGAGTCACGCACAACAGATGCTCAAGTTCAGATTGAGAGATATCCTCCGTAACAAGTTTTTTGATCTTGTGAACCCGGGGTGGGGAAAAAGTGACACCCTTGATCTCCACTTCGATGGATTGAGGAAGGTTATCATGGAAGCGACTGTGCGCCACCTTATCAACAAAGGTGTGTTGCCGGTGCCGCAGGAGGAGGATGAAGGCGATGAAAATGAAGGCGAGGGTAGAGGTGGAGATGAAAGTGGAGGTGGAGGTGGAGGTGGAGGCACAGGAGAAGGTGGAGCTGAGGAGGCAGAGGAATCGCAAGAGATTCAGCATCTAGAATTGCCTATTCTTCCTGTTCGGCTTAACACCAGTAGTGGGGAAACAAAGCCAGCCAGCATGATCACAATGTAGATATCCCCTACTCTAATAATTTACTGTCCTGGCTTGTTTTTTCAGTAGACATTGAGAACTCTCAAGCTTGAATTCTTCTCATCAGTTTCTGTAACAGGGCACTCATTATGTCGATCTTGTTCTCAGACTGCAGGACTCAGGAAAATTTCTAGGTTTTTTTCCAAGGTAATGGTGGTTCCTAGGCACTCGTTTAAAATCAGTATGTTATCTGGGAAACCTAGTAGCTATAGGCTACTTTTGTCACCAAGATCGTAATACCCCTGGTGCCATATCATCCCGTAGTTCGGACCAAATACTCCCAACATGGGTTAGGGTCCCCCGGACAGTATAAGGTCACTCCGCGCGAGGCGTTCGATATCATCAGCGGGCGTTCGCGATTTCTTAACTTGTGAAACAAAACCTATCCTGGGCAACCCAAGTGTGTGAATTTTGCGAGATTTTGGGGTGCTGGCTCGCGAATGTGCGTACCTACCATACCCTCCCCATTCCTGCTCTGCCCGTGATTCCCCTTTTCAAAAATACCGGACCACCAGTAACTTATATCTCTTCTTGAGTAACAGGCCGCGGCCTTGCAACGATTCCATCTTTTCCTACGTCATGGGTCTTGGTTGTTTATCTTTGCCAGGTTTCCGGAATTGGCGAACTAATCCCTACACGGCCAGGGACTATTGAAAACTACTGGCACTGCATCGAGTGGGGTGATTGGGCCTCATGCTATGGTCCAACGCCAGCTCTTAGATGTGGGGGTAGGGCTTGTAAGAAAATTATTGCAAATCACCGGTACTCCACTTGATACTCTAAGTTGCCTCGACGGATTCCGGATAGGCCGGAAGTCTCTGGAGTTGGTCAAGGGTTGATTCCCTATTTGTAGCGCTTACTTGGGGTGAGCTGGGATGCCCGTAAGCGGTTACTTGCAATTTCATTGCGAACCGATGATGCCATAGGTCACCATTTACAGACATTTAATCTCCCACCAAGGATGAGTTTTCTATTTGTAAGCGGGATAGAAAGTTCTGGAGGTTCTTTGACATTCATGTATCTTATAGGATGATTAGCCGGAGAGGGGGTATGCAGCACGTAGTTAAAAAGAGGAACGAGAGTGGTTGACAAAAGCGGGGTAAAGGGAAGTTAAGAGAAGTTCGGATAACGAGCAAGAGGGGGGGCTTGGAAGTTCTTGAGAAGTATAAAGAAGATATGGGATCGCGGAGAAGGAAAAAGAGTCTGGAAAATAGCAGCGACGAAGGTGGAATTCCGGATATCAATACTGCCAAGAACCAGAAACCTTCCACATATGGTTCCTGCACTTCAAAATGTGCACGAGGCTTGTGAGAAAATGTTATGTGGCTGTGCTATTTTGTTTTTTTTGCTAAGAGAATCCTACTAAGCTTCAATACTACCACTATTAGGGTCTATAAATAGGGTATTAAGATATGAGATGTTAGAATAAAGATATTAGATTTAATTATCCAAGTTAAATATAAAGCTATTAATCATTTAATTGTATAATATTTCATGTAGGATGTAGGGTACACTTGCATTCAAACTGAAAATACTAATTTGTCATGATAATGCAGTTATTAAAGCATTAACAGGTATGGCTGATATAATATTTTTTTCAACTCTCACCAAAAATGGCTTATTTTAAAGCTAAATGAACATTTTTTTTTTAAAAAAATGCTCAGGTTTAAAAAAAAAACACTACACTCATTGCAGCTATCAGATTTTTGATGTAGTTGGTTTTTAAAAATTTTAATGGTATTAGATGAAGCCCCATTATTGATTGAAACGTACCCGAGATCGTGGTATATGTATTGAAGTATAGAAACTATACACAAAGACAAATGGAAAGACCTAGTTTAAATTACGAAAAAGATTACCGGTAATTGCCGAAACCTGTCCCTTTCAGCCTGATGTTGATTCAAGAAAGAAGTAGGGCAAAACTGCGATAGCCCACGGTACCTGCACGATACGAGAGGGGGCAGTGATCACCTCCCAGCATGATGCTCAATCATTCCGGTAAACCCACCGTCCAAACTTGAGAGCTTACCAGGCTTCATCCATGCCACTTTTACGTATCCATCCAGCTATGTGTGGGATATTTGCCCTGTTTTTAGAGATTCCTCAACGGCACAAAGACTTATACTGGCAGTCTGTGCCACTGCCTTACGACGTTAAATTACCAACAGTCTAGAAAAATAGGGACAATGGGTTCAACGGATGGCGGTGCTTTGCCGTATGTATTGCTTGTTTGATATAATAGTAGTGTTCGGTCTCAACAACGTGCAATCCCCTCACCCCTCCTCCCCCTATTCCCACCCTTGCGCGGCATCCAACGCCATCAGCGCCAGTTCGCTGGTAAATTCTCCTAAGTTTACACGCCGCTCCTATCCCTGTTGGCTCTAGTCTAGTCATAATCAGAGATATCGAGGTGGTATTGTAGTTAGTTGGGTGCAGAGGTCATCCAAACCGCCCAAGAACCCTCACAAGCACCAACATCGTGGCTATTGCGCTGGGCTACCAAGGAAAGCGCGGTGAGTTAGAGACAATGCGGGTACATCGGTGCGCACTTTAGTAGAGTGAAAAATTTATCGGACCAGACAACGCCGGCACCCTAGTAAGCATCAAAAACCTAGCTATTGTACTGTAATGCTGTTGAAAGTGTGATAAATCCTAGACAGTTCATCAGCGTGCACCTTAGGTACGATAGAACTTTTACAGTCCAGACTAGCTAATGACCTTAACAAGCCTCCACAGGCTGGCAATTGTGCCGGAAAACCATGGAAAGTACGGTCAATCAGTGTTGATGAGGTAGTGTACATGGCAGAGACTACGAGAAACTGGAGACCTGGCATTGCTGCAACCTGCAGACCCTAGTATTTATATGATGTGGCACTCTTTCGCAATCGTGTTGGCCGGCGGTGTGATTAATCATGTCATATGTAGTTCGTCTGGACTAGCGGCGACGTAAATTGACTACCGATTCCCACTAGCATGACAAGCTGCTAGGATCTACTAAGCATATAGAGGCTATGTTCGGAACAAGCGAGAATGGCAAACGAGAGGTGGTGCCGGGCTATTGAATTGGTTGTTCCGAACAAGAGATACTCATGTATGGAAGAAGTGTCGGGCATGTTAGCTTCCTTTTGTATGTTATTTTCCGCTGTTTCCGGTATAATTTAGCAGTGAATTTTTTTATTCTCATAGGTGATTATTTTTTGTGCCCTATCACCACGTAAGAGCCTAGCAGCCAGTCTCTTAACCTGTAGAATCATATGTTCGTCCATCGTTTATCCATGTCGTCATCTGTCATCCAGCAAATTTTAGGTGGGAAGGTAAGATCGGAGTTACCCCGAGAACCCCAAGTCATATTTGCCGATATTTTCCCCAGGGAATACTTTGAAGGCTTAAATTCCAAGCCAAGACAACAGCTTGAGCAAAACTGCCATCCCTGGGTGCTTCCACCAACGGCCGAGGAACAAATAGCACCCTTGGCTGGGCAGACTATAGCTCACAACCTGCCTACTTTGGGTCAAAATGTAGGGTACAACACAATTTTAATAACTCTATATGAAAATGAAACACAGTAGAAAGAGTGTACTGTGGGCACACTAGGCAAGGAGGAGTGCAGTACGAAGGTAGATTGGTAGGTATTCTGATCATTAATTCTCTTAAGTGAGGTGGGCAGTAACCGCTATATATACGGGTGTGCAGCAATTGTATAATAAGGGAAAACAAAGAAAAAATATGAGTGTGAATGTGTTTAACCCTAAACACCGGCTAAGGAAATCCCAGTAAATATGTAGAAATCTAAGATGGTGTGGGAGTAATTATGAAACAATTATAAATCAAATGACTGATAACAGTACATAAGAGATGCATAAAAATAAGGAAATATCCCAAGCACCTGATAAAAAATCCACAAGTAAAATCCCTAATTGTTATCATGAAATATTAATGAAATATATGTAATACATGCCCTAGCTGTAGTAATGTCTGTATTTAACCAATAATACTTAGTAGAGGAATATTAGATGTTATCAAAGAATGTATACATATGAAAGGAGTCAGGAAATTTCAACACTTTCTCGCCCCGGGACCGGCGGAGTCCCTCGTCGTGGAAACTGCGGACCAGACAGGACGCAATAACTGCCAACAACCCAGTCATGCCCCTGCGATACGTGGCAAAATAAGACGGGTCAGAGCCGGTGCGTTTCCCATCGTGTACGGGTGCCCAACAGTTCGCGAACCATATCATGACAGAATTCTAGCAACCTTTGCTAACCCAGATAAGCTCGTTCATAAAGAAAGGAATTTATTATCAGTAGGACAACATCGCTCTAGGAGCTCTAAAGGTAGATGAGAAAACGCAAACCCAATCATCCCACCATACCTGATGCCCACAACCGGGAGGGCTTTTGGACTGCACCCGGATGATATGTCATTTTCTGAGAGCTAACCTAGCCGTGCTGAAAATTGTCGGAATATCTCGTATGTAAGGTGTACGGTGGTAGTAGAAGTTCAGTGGAGAAGTGTAGACCTTTTGGAATAAGGAGAAGACTTGTCCGTTATCTCTTGTACTGTATTACTTGGATACAAGATGATGGTACTTATACCTCAGAGAGGTATCTATATACAGTAGTAATGAGCGAGCATCCACTATGCCTAACCAAGTATGCTTCCGTCACATTGAAGCCATTATTTCAACACTCCCGCACTTCAATGATTTCCTTGTAAGTAGACAAGAACAGGAGAAAGGAACACAGGATGGAGAGAGGGCAAAAGGGAAGAATACAGAACTTGTAGCCTCATTAAAAACCCTGTATCCACTGCAAAACCCTGTGGGAAAAAAGCGACTTGGATACAGGAAAAGAGTACTACACAGGAGATAAGGAAAGTAAAAGAGTAAAGAACAAGGTACAGAAAAGTCCTCCTAGACAGTCCATTCCCGAAGTCCCATATGGTGAAGATGAGACCAGAATGCCGTAGCTGGTAAGGACTTG